TAAAAAAAAGATTTGATATATAAATAAGACATAACATAATTTATATTACATTTCACTTATTCTAAAATAACATTATCTGTAGTACAATTAATATGTAAAAGTTGTTGTTACTTATTTATTCGATTTAAATACGTGGTAGCCCATACAACAGCACACAGATAACATAAATGAATAAAAAATGTGAAGTAATAGTAGGGATCGAATATCTTTCTGCGAATTATAGTTTCCATAAGCTCAAATTGATTTGTTTGGATGCACATTGTCATCTTATCCCCAATTTAACATTTTTAAGTTTTATACCGGTAATGTATATATAAGGTGTGGATAATATATATATATATATATATATATATTAATTTATAGATTAAAATGTTATGGAAAAAAGATATATAACATCTATTTAGAAATATTATTTGCAATTTTATTAATAGAGATTAGATTATAAAGAATGATTGCTAATCACACACTTATTACTCCAAAATAAAGAAAAGTTTGTTGAAAACTTTGATTTAATTTTTTGACATAAAAAATATATTTTTCGCTTTAAAATAAATGTCCAGATAGATGGTACACATTCTTAAAAATGTACAGTTATTACTCTTTTTAAATAATTAATGACATTTTTATCCTTAATAATAGATAGTTTAAGTAATATATTTTTATATCTAGAGGTAATTAATTAACAACAAAAGAAAAAAAAACATGTATACTAACAAACGATCTGTTATGTTTGATAAACTAATTGATGAGTTAATTGTTTACTGATAATCATGTTTAACAAAAACTAAGTAATTAACTAATTGACTAAAATAAAATGGTCAAAAATAAAATGTTAAAATTAATCTATCATAACTTTATATAATATAATTAAAATAAATTAACATATTTAAATAAATAATAAAAAAGATAAAATTTTCAATATTTATGTTTAATGGTGTAACACCCCATACCACATATTGTATGTAACATATACTTCATATATAGAAATACATATTTATATACCACATAGGTCATTTAGTACAAGAATTACAAGTACAGAATACATGATTGAAAATTTCAAAAAACAAATCTTGTACTCTTTCATGTTTGACTAACAAAACTATATATAACATAGCCAAATCTTCACGTAGATATACATATAGAGAAATTTTACATTTTTCACTTTTCCTTACCGTCAGCACCACCTGCAATACATATTTAAAATCACAAAACGAGGGTTAGACCGAAAGGTCTAATGAGTTACCCTATTAAAGTCATTGCAGGGTGAAAATCACCAAAACTTTTATATAAAACAACTTTTCATATATATATATATATATATATATATATATATATAACAAATATATGAACAAGTAAGAACACAATATTAATACCTTTCACATTCCAAGCTAATAATTTCTGCTTGTAAATAATATATCAACTCTAAACAGGTTTATAATAACCAAATTAACATAGTGTCACTTTTAAACCTTTTTCTATTCAAACAAGGTTTATACAAAGTTCAGTCCAAACCTGTTATCCCCTTCTCTATAACATTCAGACTATGATTTCTAATAAGAACCCCGATCTTAAATCTTTAAATCACAAAGAAATAAAGATTTCAGACCACAATAATCTTAAGGGATATAATAGTAAGAGTTATATTATATAACACACACATACAATTGCCACCCTTATATCCAAATGTACATCTCTCCTTGATATGTCACTCTTGTCCCATGGTACACATCTCCTTGATATGCCACATTTATTTTCTCATCAAAACATTTTACAAAAACAATTCCATTTAGACCGCAGTCAATAGAATTACTAGTTCAAAATCATCTTTATCAAGATTCCCATTTATATATAAAAACAAGACAAAATGCAAATCCGATCAAAATAGACTTGGCCGGACTTCATCTCCGATCAAGTTTTGGCCGATTTACCAAATCCGGACAACAAATCGCCCAAGTCTTGTCCGATTTAACACTTAAACAGAATTTCAATACTTTTGTCCGGATAACAAATCCGGACAACATATCGCCTAAGACTTGTCCGATTTAAAATAATCCGGTCAACACATGGTCATATTCATACTTCTACGTTCAAAATATTTAATATAAACTCAATGTTTATAAATCGCTCAACTCTTGTCCTGTTTAAGACTAAATCGCTTGACTCTTAACTGGTTTAAGTCTAATTTGGACAATACTCACCAAGCGGTTTATTTATAAATCGCTCATGCTTTATCCGGTTTAGGGCTTAAATCGCCCAACCCTTGCCCGGTTTATGACTAAACCGCTTACCCCTTGTTCGGTTTAGTCTAATCCGGACAACATTCAACAAGTTAAAATAAAAGCTATACAATCAATTTATGCAATTGTAAAGAGTTTTCAAATCAATTAAACCACTCACCTTAAATCTTTTTGAAACCACACACTTGAAATCAATTTGATCTTCAAACTCAGGAATAATCCGGTCAAGACTCTTTTCTCACTGTAAATCACTTACTAAAAATGGCAGGAAGATGGTTTTGAGGGCTTCAACCCCTTTTATACCCTTCCCAACCAGGGAAGGCGGTCACACACCACCCCATGCATCCTTATATCATGCATATGTGTGTATTTATATAAATATATACTCTCATGCACATATGCACATACATGCATACATATCACACACACACACACACACACACATATATATATATATATATCATACATACATGTGCATTCACGTATACACATAATCTCATTCATACATCTACATTATCCACATTTTCACATACTAGCATGATCAAATATATCGATTTATCATGCTATCACGAAATTATTTAATCAGATAATCATGTATTTATTAGCTCGGGTGATAACCAGAATTTAGTTATCACAAATGGACAAACAACCGGTATACTCTATCTTATTATCATAAGTATCAACAATAATCATTATAAATGTGGATTTTTATTTATAAAG